CCTCTGGCCCTATTGATAGCCCTGCGTCTTACTCTCCCACCTCTGATACCCAGCCTGACCTCGGAGTCATCCCTGGGTGACCTTTAGCGCCCCCCCCCACCCTCCTGCCCCCAGATATGCTTCACTAACTCACATTTTGACAGGGACTCACAGCAGGTGCTTCCTGCCCTCACTGGAAACTTTGACCTTCCCCTAGATCAACATGCTGTTGCACTTCAAAGATGGTGCTAATGAGGAAGATTGTCCCCTCCCTGAGGACATCAGAGAGGAACTGCTGACATTTCATCAAGACCTGCTGGCACATTGTGGTAAGAAGAGGGGCGCAGAGCACTCCCCCCCACCCTCGCCCACACTCCCTGGACACCTCCCCTGAAGTTCCCCTAAGATGTCCTGATGGTAAACAGCTACAGTATTGGTGCTGTGTGACTGTTGGCTGGCTGGCTGGTTGCTGCTATGTCACCATCAGTTGGTTGAAGGAAGGAAGGAAGGAAAGAATATGTCAGTGAATAGAAGGATGGTGAGTGGAAGGGTAGGTTTATATGGACATTTGGGTGGGTGTATGTGTAGGTGAAAGCTACAGGCAGGTTCGATGGATGAATGACAGGGTGAAGTGGCGGGGAGGCGGCTGGCTGGCGCAGGTCGGCGCATGCCTGCTGCTGTTTCTCATCAGAGTCAGCTGATCATTCACTGAGGTGCCCACATACGTGCGGAGTTGTGCTTCTCTAGCTGGCTTTCCAGATTGTGCCACACACGTTGAGTGGGCTGTATCTAGCTGTGAAGCTCTCATCCTACTGGGAGTTTGCTGGATTTCTCGGATGTGTAGATTAATATTTTCCATTAAATTTGAAAAAATAGATCATTATTTCTCCAAATATTTTTTTCAGCCCCTTTCTCATCCCTCCTCCCAGGCTTCCCATTGTGCCTATACTGGTACACTTGATGGCTTCTGAGCGCTGTTGCTTTTTCTTCATTCTTTCATTCTCTTCAGATTGGACAGTCTCTATGTCTTACCTTCAGGCTCACTGTATCTTTCTCCTACCAGCTCAAATAGGGTCTTGTGCCTCTCAGGTGTTTTACTGTTGCTGGTTTTCAGAGCTCAGGCGCTAATGTTTTTAAAGTCCCATTATTGTATTTTACAACTCTAACTTTGTTTTTGTTTTTTAAAATATTTATTTATGCATATAAGAACTAGGTTACAGGCTAGAGGTGTGGAGGGTTGAGAGGATCACCAGAGACAGAGTGGGGAGCTGAACAGGCAGGTCGACTGAAGGGAGGGCTGAGGGGAGCAGTGGGTGAGGCAGAAGAGGTCTGCTGCACCATGTGGGTCATCTCCCTGGCCGGGAATTGAACTCGTGCAGCGGGGACTGCAGATAGCTTCATAGTGCTGCGCTTTAACCCCTTGCACCACCAGGGAGGGCCCTCCTTTAATTCTTAGAACATATTTACAATAACCAGTTGAGAAGACAAAAGAACAGATGTAGAAGCACATCGAAGAACAGATGTAGAAGCACCAACATAGACATCAATAGAAAGCCCCACGTATGCCTGTGTGAATGAGGAACAGAGGAATGAAGGTGTAAATGATCAAGAAACTCAATAAGCAAAGCCCTTTGAAACGAAAGCCTCCCTCTGCTTCCTGGCCACCCCCAGGAATTCAGCTGAAGGGAGAAGAGGAGGAACCAGAGGAAGAGGCCACGCTGGGCAGCCGCCTGATGAGCCTGCTGGAGAAAGTGCGGCTGGTAAAGAAGAAAGAAGAGAAGCCCGAGGAGGAGCCTCCCGCTGAGGAGAGCAAACCCAGTGAGCACAGTGGCCCCTGGCAGGGGCAGGCTGGGTGGGCAGCGCTGTGCTCGGAGCCTCAGGGCCCAAGACAGTTCCCGAGAAGCAGCAAGCTGGGCTCAAACTCAAGCCGCAGCGGCGAGGGTGCTGAGACTTAACCCCTAGGCCACCAGGGAGGCCCATGTCTTGGTGTGTGTGTGGAGGACAGTGTGGCTGAGCAGACTGAGCAAAGGGGAGAGGGCAGGAGACAGGCCAGAAGACGCAGGCCCACTGGGGAAGGGCAGGGTTAACGTGTCATGAATCGACACCGTCGTCCAGTGCCAGCGCATGGAATGTCTTCTAGCCCTGAGACACAGGAGGCCTCGCTCTGTTCTTCCAGAAACACAGGGAAGGGAATGGCCTGGGAGGAAAGGAGACAGAGAGTGGATGTTGGAAATAAGGCAGGCGAGCCGCAGGGAGATCAACAGGGAACTAAAACCCAGAGTTATTTTGATGTCATTGTCATGTTTTTAAAGATCTATTTATTTATTCAGAACTGGGTACAGGCCAGAGGTGCAGGGGTGGTGAGAGGCTTCACCAGAACAGGCCGACTGATGAAGTCCACTGCTGAGGGGAGCAGCGCTGGCAGGTGCAGGGTGGGGTGCAGTCAGTCACCGAGCAGCCCCTGGAAAAGAGAGGCCCCGTCTGCATCATGGGGCTCCAGGCCCTGGCCCTACTTTTGAGCCGTGTGTCCCCTTCTCAGAGTCGCTGCAGGAGTTGGTGTCCCACACGGTGGTGCGCTGGGCCCAGGAGGACTTTGTGCAGAGCCCAGAGCTGGTCCGGGCCATGTTCAGCCTCCTGCACCGCCAGTACGACGGGCTCGGGGAGCTGCTGCGCGCCCTGCCGCGGGCATACACCATCTCGCCGTCCTCCATGGAGGACACCATGAGCCTGCTCGAGTGCCTGGGCCAGATCCGGTCGCTGCTCATCGTGCAGATGGGCCCCCAGGAGGAGAACCTCATGATCCAGAGCATTGGGTGAGGTCCCGCCGCTGAGCCCCGCCACCCCCTTCCAGGCCTCAGCGTTCCTGGGGGGAGAGAAGGGGAGCACCCCCAGTTCCCATTCTCTGAATCCAGTCATGGCTCCTTCCCCCACTTCTGCGCCATCCCCAGGTGATACACTCCTGCCAGCAGCGAGCCCCTCTCCCGGGGTGACGTCCCTTGCCCTCACCTCTCCTCCACCCCCACGCCACAGCTCATACTCACTGGTGACCCTTGGCACGAGGTTTCCCCTCTGAGCTTCAGCATCCTCGCCTCCAAGCTGGGGCAGGGCTACATCCGCCTCACAGGCCCCACACGGCTGCAGTGAGCTCATGCACGGGGCCGTGGCGGGATTAGTGCTGTCACGGGTAGCAAGCGTGCCTCGTTCACTCAGCAGTGAGCACCTCCTGTGGGCCAGGCCCCAAAGCCTTCTGCCCTAGGGGATCCTCCTAGGATCCGTGCCTCCATTTCCTTACCTGCAGGACAGGGATAATTATAGCTCCTGCTTCCCAGGTTTGGGTGAGGTCAGATCTGTACGGGGGGGCAGTGGTGGCCACAGAGTAAGAACTCAGAGTTGACTGTCATCAGTGGTGGGCTCGGCTCCCCCAAGGGTCTGGGGTCTCCCTGGACTCGGCTGTGACCCGGCCCCTGGGGACCCGACGTCCTGCACCTGTCTGTCCTCAGAAACATCATGAACAACAAAGTCTTCTATCAGCATCCCAACCTGATGCGGGCTCTGGGCATGCATGAGACTGTCATGGAGGTGATGGTCAATGTCCTCGGGGGTGGTGAGTCGAAGGTAAGTGGCCAGCGTGGGCCTGGGGGCTCAGGGGAGGGGGCCACAGAGGGCAGACACTGACGGCTCGCCCACCCCAGGAGATTCGCTTCCCCAAGATGGTGACAAGCTGTTGCCGCTTTCTCTGCTACTTCTGCCGCATTAGCCGGCAGAACCAGCGCTCCATGTTTGACCACCTGAGCTACCTGCTGGAGAACAGTGGCATCGGCCTGGGTAAGAAGCCCTGAGCCCAGAGCCTGCCCCTAGAGTCGACTTCTGTGCTGGCTGGCTCACTCATTCAGCCAACACTCAGCACACCCTGAGTGCAGCCTTGCGACAGGCAGGCCTGGAAAGACCTACACAGCCCAGGGCCCTGCCGCCGGCACTCACAGTAGAGTGTGGAGGTAGAGCCACTCAGCCATCGGTAGCCCAGGGTGGGCAGACTTGGGACTGGGAAGCACAGGCCAGGGAAGGCCCTTAAGCTAGGCTGGCAAAGGGAAGGGCGTCTTGAAGGAGGTGAGACAAGCAGGGGTGAGTGAGGCGGGTGGGCTGCACCTCTGAAGGGCGTCCTCACCGCCTCTCCCCTGCAGGCATGCAGGGCTCCACGCCCCTGGACGTGGCCGCCGCCTCCGTCATTGACAACAACGAGCTGGCCTTGGCGTTACAGGAGCAGGACCTGGAGAAGGTGTGGAGGGAGGAGGCCTGGCTGTTCCCTGGCCCTTGGGGCACTTGCTGATGGAGCCATTCTGAGTGGGCAGTGTGGATGGTCTGGAATGGGGCAAAAACAGGGTTGGGGGAGCAGGGGCCCACGGGGGAGCAGGGACCCATGGGTATGACGGTCGAGGTGGGAGATGAGAGTGGACAATGAATAGGGATTCAGGGGTGACTTGGACTGTGAAACTCTGGGGATGGCCAGGTGGGTCTGGCCTCTGGCTGAGTCTACTTCTGCCCCCAGGTGGTGTCATACCTGGCAGGCTGTGGCCTCCAAAGCTGCCCCATGCTCCTGGCCAAAGGGTACCCGGACATTGGCTGGAACCCCTGTGGCGGCGAACACTACCTGGATTTCCTGCGCTTCGCTGTCTTTGTCAACGGTGAGGAGGAGGTGGTGGCCGCAGGTGGGAGGGTGGGGGTCACCCTGCAAAACCCTCCTTGGGGAGTAGCCCACATCCTGAGCTTCAGACCTGCACCGGGTTCCCCCATGCGGGTGTGGGGCAGGGTCTGGAGGTGATGGGGCCAGCCATTAACCCTCGAGGTGCTGGGCCCCGGGCTGACCCCAAGGAGGGCCCTGGGCGTTGGCTCACGCGGCCTCCTGACGCCGCCTGTGTGACCAGGTGAGAGTGTGGAGGAGAACGCCAACGTGGTGGTCCGGCTGCTCATCCGCAAGCCCGAGTGCTTTGGGCCCGCCCTGCGGGGCGAGGGCGGCTCCGGGCTGCTGGCAGCCATTGAAGAGGCCATCCGCATCTCCGAGGACCCGGCCCGGGATGGCCCTGGCGTCCGCAGGGACCGGCGGCGTGAGCAGTGAGTCTCCCTCAGCCCCAGTGGCGCCACTGTCCTCCCCACCCTGCCCCCAACACCACCGCTTGTCCCTGCAGCTTCGGCGAGGAGCCCCCGGAGGAGAACCGTGTGCACCTGGGACACGCCATCATGTCCTTCTACGCCGCCCTGATCGACCTGCTGGGACGCTGTGCCCCAGAGATGCATGTGAGGCCCGGAGCCCGGTGCAGAGGGCAGGCAGTGCCAACCTCGAGCCTCAGTTGCAGCACTCAGCACCTCTGATAGAGCATTCCCCATGTGGGCGGTTCTGGAGCAGGCAGTGCTGGGACTCACCATGACCCAGATAGCCCAGGCCCCGCTCTCATGGAGCTCACAGCCCAGTGGGGAGCTTTCGGGGGTGGTCAGGGCTTCAGTGGAGAAGCACAGAGGGGTCAGGGCTGGGAATGCTACCATTAGCTCCACCAGAAGTGGGGCTCTGCCTGCTGTTGTCTGGAGGGGTTGGAAAGGAGACATGACCAAACTGGGGGAGGTGTGCCTGACGACATCTGCACCCCTCCCCCAGCTAATCCAAGCTGGCAAGGGTGAGGCGCTGCGGATCCGCGCCATCCTGCGCTCCCTCGTGCCCCTGGATGACCTCGTGGGCATCATCAGCCTCCCACTACAGATCCCCACCCTGGGCAAAGGTGCGGAGAGTGAGGCTCAGGGAGGGGCCTGTGTCCCAAGGGCATCCCTGATCCCTGCCCTCCTTGCCCACAGATGGGGCCCTGGTACAGCCAAAGATGTCGGCATCCTTTGTGCCGGACCACAAGGCATCCATGGTGCTCTTCCTGGACCGCGTGTACGGCATCGAGAATCAGGACTTCTTGCTGCACGTGCTGGATGTGGGGTTCCTGCCCGACATGCGGGCAGCTGCCTCCTTGGACACGGTGAGCAGCCTGCCCAGCCTGCCGCCCTGCCTGCCTGCAGGCACCGCGAGCCGGCACGTCTGTGTGTGCCCAAAAGCACACGTGTGTTCCTCCTCCCACCTCCACCGGCAAGATGGAAAACAGACGAGAAAAACAGTTCTGGGAGGGGGGGTGGAACTCGCCAGCATCTCAGGTTGGCGTCACCACGGAGACCCCGAGAGCCCTGCACGATAGTAACAGGCCAGGGTCAGGGGGTGCTGACCACAGACCCCTGGTTCAGCCATGTGGGAGTGGCTTCCCCGAGCAGTTGCAGTGAGGTAGTGCACCGGAGGCTGGAGAGGGTGGGGAAAGCTGGGCCCGGCATGGGAGACAGTGAATGTGGCTGATTTTCACACAGTTGGTGGCAGAGGAGGAGGCAGAAGGGCGGTGTGCTGGAGGGGGAAGCTGCAGCTGGGAGTGTCAGCGGGGGAAGGGAGCCTGAGACTTGAATCCATAACTGCAGTTTGTCAGAAGTGCAGGAGCAGAGGAGCAAGTTGACTGGCACCACCAGGAAGCAGCCAGCCAAAGCCCAGGTGCAGGCAGTCCCGCCAGACAGCTGACCCCGTTTCTCCAGCCACTAAGTAGTAGGAAAGGTGGGGAGGAGGGAGGAATAGGGACATCTGCAGAAGGAAAGCCCTGCGACCTGTCAGCCAAATAGAGTATGCTGCGCCCTGATCCAGACAGCCCCACTAAAAGCAAGGCGGCGTGTGAGACAGGTGGACAAAGCTGATGCTGGACCATTCAGTGTCCATTCGGGCAGGGGAGACAACAGCAGCGCCGGGTGTGGCCAGTGGATTTGCCTGAGTGGAGATGACATATTTAAGCATCCATGGGCCACATGAAGTAAGGCTGGGGGTGGGATGTGCATGAAAATATTCCCCAAACAGAGACTTAGGGAGGAAGGCTGGACGGCTGCAGGACAGTGTGTGGGTGAAAGGGTGTCCCAGTTGCCTCTTGCACTTTGGAGAGGGCGTGCAACTGCACAGCCTCCAGTCATCAAGGCGCAGTCCGAGGAGCAGGTTTGGGGAAAGACCAGAAGCCGGGATCGTTTACTCAGAATTGTGTGGTCAAAAGGGAGTCTGACGTCCCCACCCTGCACCCCAGGCCACTTTTAGCACCACGGAGATGGCGCTGGCGCTGAACCGCTACCTGTGCCTGGCGGTGCTGCCGCTCATCACCAAGTGCGCGCCGCTCTTCGCGGGCACGGAGCACCGCGCCATCATGGTGGACTCCATGCTGCACACGGTGTACCGCCTGTCCCGCGGCCGCTCGCTCACCAAGGCGCAGCGCGACGTCATCGAGGACTGTCTCATGGCGCTCTGCAGGTGGGCGGGAGCCCCCGAGTGGGGGGGGGCGGGCCTAGGGCAGGCGGGCCTCCAGGTGAGCGGCCTCTCCCCGGTGTCTGTGCCCCCAGGTACATCCGCCCGTCCATGCTGCAGCACTTGCTGCGCCGGCTGGTGTTCGACGTGCCCATCCTGAACGAGTTCGCCAAGATGCCACTCAAGGTGAGTCAGACCCTCTGCGGGGTGCTCGGACTAGGGGGTCGTTATCACAGGGGTCTCCCATTTACCCTGCCAAAGTGAGTCCTGCATCCCCATAGCAACCGCTTTAGCATTCTAATTTGCATACTAGGATTCCGGGGAGTTCACTCTGCGTCACTGCTGCCGCTAATACTCTCTTATTAGTGTTTCATTTGCCTAAAAGTATGCCAGCCCTCGCCTAAATTATCATATATTTGCATGGGGCACACCACTTTCTCAATTACTGCTTATCCTTATGCCCAGACCACCAGTCGTCCCCTATTCAAATGAGAGCCTTTATTTGAATAAACACTGCCGCAGCTACTCTGAATATTTGCACACTGTCTTCCCTGTTATTTTTTAATTTGTGTGTTAATTTGCATATGGAATACCCCCAGCTCAGATAGTTTGACTAGACTGCTTTGCATAATACACCTAAATCAGCCTAATTTGCATCTCGGATGTAGAGGTCCGCTTCCTAATTACCATACATTTGCATGGGGTGTTGCCTGTGTTTCTGTTTGGCGTGGTAACTCCCATAAACGAAAATCACTCCACCCATATGTCCATTTCCACACCAACCTGCCCGTGAATTAACATTAGCATGCTTATTTGTGTAAAGCAACACCAGACAAACCCAGCTCTGGATTAAAGCCCATCCTGACTCTAAATTAGGATATTAAATTTACATAATGAACAGCCACAGACTGCTCCCCAATAGAATGCTGGCCTCCTTATTAGCATGTCATTTGCATAACCCACACCTGTCATTAAAAAGTACTGGAACCCCTGGGCATCCCTGGATTGTCATTTGCCTGCCACCTGCTGTGTCCCCCCCTTCATTTGTGTGTCCCTCTCTGGCTCCCACCCAGCTCCTCACCAACCATTACGAGCGCTGTTGGAAATATTACTGCCTCCCCACCGGTTGGGCTAGCTTCGGGGTCACCTCGGAGGAGGAGCTGCACCTCACTCGCAAGCTCTTCTGGGGCATTTTTGACTCCCTGGCACATAAGGTCTGGATCCCTGCCTGGGGGGCGGGAGAGGGAAAATCCACGAAAGGATCCTGTTTGGAGGGTTTGGGGACCAAAGTTGGGGAACCAGTCTGAAATCCCCAAACTTGAGGTTTCTAGAAGGACAGTTCTGCAGGTTTGAGTCCAGGAGAATCTGAGTTGGTCTCTGATGTGGATGTTCTAGAAGAAGTGATCAGTCTCACATTTGGGGCTCAGAGAGGGGCAATAATGGGGTTCCGATTGGTTCCGAGGCTTTGGTTTCTAGGAAAGGGACCGTACCTGTGTCTGGGGGATTGGCAAGGTGGGTTAGTGACTGGAGGGCTGAGTTCTCAGGTCCCAACACTGGGATTTGAAGGCTCGGCCACACCTGTAATGACCACGCCCCCCGGCCCCCCAGAAATATGACCCAGAGCTGTACCGCATGGCCATGCCCTGCTTGTGCGCCATCGCAGGGGCTCTGCCCCCCGATTATGTGGACGCTTCGTATTCATCCAAGGCGGAGAAAAAGGCCACGGTGGACGCAGAAGGCAACTTTGATCCTCGGCCTGTGGAGACCCTCAAGTGAGGCCTGGAGAGGGGTTGGAGCCTGCAGGCTGGGAGAGGGAAAAGGCCTCAGAGGTGGAAGGAGGGGCCAGCCCCAACCTCCACCACCACGGTCTCCCCTAACAGCGTGATCATCCCAGAGAAGCTTGACTCCTTCATCAACAAGTTCTCGGAGTATACGCATGAGAAGTGGGCCTTTGACAAGGTGGGCCTCGCGGCCTACCTGCTGGCCTTCCTCGGGACCCCAGTTCCCACCGGACCATGTCACCCCTGAGGCCCAGATTTCCCTGGAACATGCAGCCCTCTCTGCAGCCCTCTGCCCCTTGGTTCCCCTGTGTGTCCCCTGGCTGCTGTCCACCCGCAGCCTGCCCCACCCCCAGTGGCACTGCCCCCACCTGTGCCCTCTCCACCTGCAGATCCAGAACAGCTGGTCCTACGGGGAGAACATAGACGAGGAGCTGAAGACCCACCCCATGCTGAGGCCTTACAAGACCTTTTCAGAAAAGGTGACCAAGCTTTGGGGCCCAGTGTTGGGGGGTCCAACATGAAACCTCCAAATTTGGGGGGCTAAGGGGGGTGTGAGCCTCAGGGAAATAGAAGGAAGTTCTGATGGTGACTACATAGGCTGCATAGGTAGTGTCCAGCATCATACGTGGAATTTAGGGATTCTTTATTTATTTGCAACACTTTCTTTTAGGGGTTATAGGTTCAAGCCTCTACAAATGTATATTTTCACAACCTGCCCACTATCAAAGCCCCCAAAATCCTCCACTATGCTCCACTGGGCCCCTCCATTCTATCCTCTCACTCACCAACCCCCTCTGGCGCCTTGGTTTTGCAGTCAGATTTCTAGGGTTTGTTACTGGCTTGGTTTTGTCTGACCCTTTGTTTCTCTGTGTTCTACCTATACTGGTATTTGTCTTTCTCCTCTGACTTATTTATCTCAGCATCCTCCTCTTCAGTTCCATCCATGTACATGGAACTTCTTCCCCTGCCTCCTCCTCCTCAAGCCCTAAGGGACCTTCACAGAGGCTCAGTTCCATGTATAGTTCTGGAAGGGCCAACGGTGGTTTGACCATGACATGGGATTCTTATTTGTTCTCTTTAATAATGCCCAAGGCTGATGGGAAGCCCACGGGGATTATAACTGAGATGAAAAAGTTCAAAAAATGATGTAAAAATAAACTATTATATATAAAAAAAAAATAGCGCCCAAGGCAGGTAGGCCGATGGGAGACAGCCTCACCACGGTTTCATTTCCTTCATTTGGCAAGGTGGCTTTAATATAAACTTTAAAGGGTGAAATGAGAAAAACTCCAGGAAAGAATCAAATGGCCTGGAAGGGAATTCCTAATTCTGAACAGATGATCTGGGGGATCTCAAAAATAGGGCCAGAGGGCCCTCCCTGGTGGCGCAGCGGGTTAAAGCACAGCACTGAGAAGCTAAAGCCACTTCCGTATGAGCTCGATCCCCGCCTGCCCTGGAGGTGACCACATGGCGCGGCAGACCTCTCCTGACCTGCCCGCTGCTCCCCTCAACAGTGTACTTTGTCAGTCTGCCTGTTCTGCTCCCCACTCTGTCTCTGGTGAAGCCTCTCACCCTCCGCATCTCTGGCCTATACCCCAGTTGTATGTGAATAAATAAATCTTTAAAAGAAAAAAAAAATAGAGCCAGAGATTTCTAATGAAGAGGCAAGAAACGTAGAGGCAGCTGGGATGCCAAGTCCCCTCCATTCTGTTTGCGGCGATCGAGTGGCACAAGGGAGCCAGCTCTAGAGGAGCAAAGGCAAAAACAAATAAGGATGAGGCCGCCTCGCTGGCTGGATGTGTGGGTTAGGGTGCCTGTCCCTGTGCATGGCCTTCCCTTAAACTTGGGGCCCTCCTCTGGACCCCCACCTCCTAGTCCCTTCTGTCGGGAGTGAGAGGGGTTGGGTTTGATCCTTGGCTGTTCAGCTTCTCTGAGTAAAGTGAGACGATGAGAATTTATCTAGATACCTCAGTTACTGCAAGGTGAGAGCTGTGTGTGAACCCCAACTGGATCCTTCCTTTCCCTGTCCTGGGACACCAGAGGCCAGTGAGCCTGAGCCTGGACTGGGGTGCTCACCTGCGCCTCCCTGTCACTTTTCTCTGCCAACTGCCCGCCCTCCTGTCTACCCAGGACAAAGAAATATACCGCTGGCCCATCAAGGAGTCCTTGAAGGCCATGATTGCCTGGGAGTGGACCATAGAGAAGGCCAGGGAGGGTGAAGAGGAGAAGATGGAGAAGAAGAAAACACGGAAGATATCCCAGAGCACCCAGGTGGGGAAGGGGTAGGGGAGGGGGGGGTGAGGGAGGAGTGCTAGAATAAGGGGCGGGGCCAGGAGGGGTGGAGGTGGGGTCCAGGGGACTCCTGGCAAGGGATGAAGGTGGGGTCAGAAAACTGGGAGGGCCTGGAGCCCAGGCAGGAGAGGGCTGAGCCGTCTGGGAAGGAGGGGCGTGGACATGGGTCCTGCAAAGGGCAGAGAGGAGGGGTGGCTTAGAGATGGCCTAAGAGAGGACCCAGGGGAGGGGGCCAGGGCCAGATGGGAGTGTGTATTGGGTTGGCTCCTGGGAACTCCTCGACCGCCAGCCCCCAACTCTCCCTTGTCCTTCAAGACTTATGACCCCAGAGAAGGCTACAATCCCCAGCCCCCGGACCTCAGTGGGGTGACCCTTTCCCGGGAGTTGCAGGTGAGACCCCGATCCTTTATTTTGAGGCATGGTGTCTATGGGGGGGGAGGCATCCTCTGAATCTGGGCCTTAATACTTTGCCTATACACCCCTTCTCCCCCAGGCCATGGCTGAACAACTGGCAGAAAATTACCACAACACGTGGGGGCGCAAAAAGAAGCAGGAGCTGGAGGCCAAGGGTGAGGGTGCCTGCCCGCCCACACACACACCCCCATTCTCCACAGCCCCCCATTGGTTCCTGAGTCTTGAGGTTAGGACTGTGAGCCACTGAGCAGCAGCTTTCACGCTGGGGAGCCCTCCGTCTGTCGGCGACAGAAACAGCGTGAGGGAGGCAGTGAGGGAGCCATGGCCTTGGAAAGCAGGTCTGGGTTACTCTTATCACCCCTTCCTTCCTCTAACAGTGCACACTCTCAGCCGCAGGAGCCACTTAAGTGGGGTGACTTCGCCCCCCACCCCCGCCCCCTGATTTCTAGTTTTTGCCAACCCAGGTGGTGGGACCCATCCCCTGCTGGTTCCCTACGACACACTCACGGCCAAGGAGAAAGCACGAGATCGAGAGAAGGCCCAGGAGCTGCTGAAGTTCCTGCAGATGAACGGCTACGCGGTTACCAGGTGGCTGGCGGGAGCGGGCAGGGCGGAGGCCGCGAGCCGTCCAGAATGGAGGCCGGGGCAGGGCCTAACGTGGTGAGGCCTGGGCAAAGACGTGAGGTCAGGGGGGCTAAAGCGGTGGGGTCTAGAATGGAGGCGGGGCCAGAGGCTACAGTGTGGGTTCTGGAAAGGGGGTGGGGCAAGAGCAGGGCTCAAGGGGTTGGGCCCGGGAAAGGAGGTGTGGCG